AAAAAAAGAAAAAAGAAAAAAAAGAAAAAAAAAAAAAAAGGAAAAAAAAAAAAAAAAAAAAAAAGAAAAAAAAAAAAAAAAAAAAAAAAAAAAAAAAAAAAAAAAAAAAAAAAAAAAAAAAAAAGAAAAAAAAAAAAAAAAAAAAAAAAAAAAAAGAAAAAAAAAAAAAAAAAAAAAAAAAAAAAAAACAAAAAAAAAAAAAAAAAAAAAAAAAAAAAAAAAAAAAAAAAAAAAAAAAAAAAAAAAAAAAAAAAAAAAAAAAAAAAAACAAATAAACCAAAATGAACAAAAAACCACACACATAAACAAACACAAAAGAAAAAAATAACAACACCATATCACATATCCTCACACATAAATACCATATTAAATGATCAGACAATATATCATTACTACATATCCTAATATTATCCAAATTATTCATTATGTATTATGGAGAAATTCACAACAACAAACCCGAAAGTTAAATTTCTGACCAAATAGGTGCAAAATTATAGCTAATGATGGAAAGAGGGAATGAAACAGATTTTTATATCTCCTAAAATAGAGTGCTTTAGTGTGTTGAGATGAGAATTTTTAACTGCTTGATCATTATGTGGGTGAAAAAGCCCCTGTCAATAGCTATTGCTTTAAATATTTAGTTTCGTAAAGCTAGTTTGAGGAGAAAACTGGAAGAGCACGGAAAACATAGGAATAAAAGAAGCTAACTTTGTTTGTCGGATAATGATTTAACGTGTGGTGAAGCAAACCGATGAAGGTTTACGGTAAACTGTAGTACTGAAGTTGGATGTGTTACGTGTGACCAGAATGTCGAGAAACGGAAGAGAATTGCGAGTCTCAAGTTCAAAAGTGAACTGAATAGCAGGATCAATAGAATTCATTGTTGAAAGAACTCTATTTAAATAAATCATCTTTATTACCTTCAAACAGGGTAAAAGTATCGTCTACGTAGCGAAACCATGCCGGGAAGTTTAAAGTTTCAAACAATTTTGATTCATAATAATGCATGTAGATATCAGCCAGGATGGGACTGAGGGGGCTTCCCATGGCTAATCCCTCAGTTTGCTTGTAATATTTATTTGGAAAAACAAAATGTGTTGTTTTTCAAACAGAGTTGAGTGAGAGAAATTAGCTCATCAATTTCGATGCAAGAGAAATGAAATTCGCGAAGTCTGGTTTCTAGACATCTTAATGCACCCTCCACTGGGACATTGGTGAATAATGATTTTACATCAAAAGAACCATGAGTAAATTACGAGGAGAAATGTTTTTAACCTTTTTACAAAACTCTATTGAATTTTTTATGGTGTAAATGTTATTGTCTAATAGATTGGAAAATCTAGAAACTAAATATTTAGCTAATGGATACGAGGCAGTACCTAAATTTGATACAATAGGGCGGAAAGGAATACCACTTTTATGAATTTTGGGAAGAGCATATAATCTGGCAAATTCGCAACAGATGGGATAAGCGAATGTTTTAAGTTGCTTGAAATGATTTGCGAAGATTTGATCGCAGCTTTTATTTTGGATAAGTCCGAAGGTGAAGGATCTTTAGGGATCGGATTATATGGTCCTTCGTTTAAGAGTTTAGTGACACCATCGATGTAAGTGTTCTTATCCATGACGACTATCTGGCCACCTTTGTCGGCCTTTGAAATGACAATATCCGGGTTAGAATGAATCTCGCGCATTGTAGCTCTTTCTCTCGCAGTTAGATTTGGTTTCAAAGGTTTATTATTGAATTTCACATTATGAGCGATAAGATGCCTAATCATTTCTATCTGTGAATCTGAAACTTTACTGAACTTGAAAGCTTTTTCGATAGGAGCCAAAATCTTTGGAATCGAGGGTTTACAGGTTTGTGAGAAGTTAAAATTATATTTTAGAATTCTCTCTTGTTCTTCTGAAAGACTAACATTAGAAATATTAACTATTGGCTTGATGTTTACAATGGGAAGATTTTTTGAACTATTTGAACTGGAAGACTGTAAAAGAAGTTTTTCGAATTTAACTGCAAGGCTTGTTTTATGACGGTTAACTGCATTCTCCGTTCTAGACCAAGACTTTTGTTCAAGGGCGGTGAAATTTTGGATATGTTTTAGCGAGTTCCAGATGAAGCTTATAGAGTTCATGTTCAATTTTGGACAATTGTTGACGTGTATCCCTTATCACGGACCGAAGTAAGGCAAGTTTGCAACTTAACAGAATTCTTGAAACGCGACTCGAAGGTTTTTTTGATTAGATTTGATTTGAATAAAATTGGGGGATCAATTTTTTACATTTACATTTAAGTAAAAAGTCAAGATGATTCAGGAATTTTTGCCGTTTTCAGGCGTAATTTAGTGAAACGATTAACGGATGAAGGCATGATAAACAATGCAGAGAAAATCAAACTAAATTAACTGAGCAATAATAAAGTACACACAAAATAGCAGAAAAATCCCTCACTGAAATGAATAGAAAACAAAATGTTTGTAAGCAAAATGCATGAAATCAGACAAGCAAAGCACAATATCCAAATGTACAAAACATAAAACATAACTTGAAAATTGCAAAAATGTACTCACCGAAACTCCTACAATCACAAAAATGGCGGCCACACCACGTGCAAAAAAGAAAGCAAAATGTAAGCCTGTTTGGGGCTTCTAAGGCGAATAATTAAGACACAATAAACGCCGAATAAATAAATACTAATTCAGAAGTCAAACAACAAAAATCAGCGTTAATTTACAAAATTTTCACAGGACTAGTTTCAATGGTTTTACCGAACCATCATCTTCAGCTGCAAAACCGCAAATGAACAAGATGGGAAATAATGTTTAGATAAGATAAGAAAGCCTGGACAAGAATAAGCAAGTGGCGCCATCTGTTGGCGAAACCAGAACTAAAACATAATTTCTCTAAAAGCCGAAGGCAAATTTGGATTGGAATTAGGATCGTTAAAGATTTTTATGAATGTGAAATGCCTCTAGAAAATCCAGTTCTCCAATGGAAGATGTTTTTTGAATAATTTTGGCAGCAGAAAAATTAAAAGTGTGATTTTCGGACCAACAATGTTGAGCAACAGAAGACTTCTGTGTTTCCTTTTTTCTAACATATGCCTCATGTTCTTTGACGCGAAATTTTAAGGCTCTCTTAGTTTTGGCCAATGTAAATTAAACCGCACTGGCAAGGAATCCTATAAATACCCCAGGAATTCATATCCGGAATGGGGTCCTTGAGTATAGAAGTTGGAATTTTATTGATGGGAGAGTAAAAAAAAAAAAAAAAAAAATTTGTAAATTAACGCTGATTTTTGTTGTTTGACTTCTGAATTAGTATTTATTCGGCGTGTTATTGTGTCTTAAAAGTTCGGATAGTTCAAAGATAATGACTCAGTAAATCAAAGTATGTGGTATGTTAATAGTTAACAGTATGTGGTATATTTATAATTTACGATACAGCACATGTGCTTCTAGGTAACATTATAAGGTATTTTCTCCCTCCTTCCGGCATACCTTCATGGTATAACGGTAGCACACTCAGCGCGTATTTGAGAGGTCCAGGTTCGAGTCCCGGCGAGGAGATTGCTCATTTTTTATTTCTCCTGCTTCAAAAAAATATAATGACTAGAGTGGCGCCCGAATTAAAAGATAGTGGATGTTGATTCCTCACCACCGCGATTTGGCGATTGGGTTCCCTAATCCCCACTCGCCCTTTAAAACGGGGAGTATGTAAGGTTATTTCTCCCTCCTTTCTACATGCCTTCGTGATGTAATGCTAGCACACTCGGTGCGTATTTAAGAGGTTCTAGGTTCGAGTCGGTTCTAGGTTCGAGTCTCGGCGAGGGCACTACACATTTTTCAAGTCTCCTACTTTAGAAAATAAATAAATAAAAAAATTTTAAATTACGTCCAAAGGGGCATTTTTTTAACGTTTTGTATGTTACATTTATTTATTAAATATCATGTTCTTTGCACTTCAACCATAAAATTCAGTTCAACAGCAATGTTGCAAAATAATTTTAAAATAAGCATATCTTTAAAATTTCCGATACACAGTTCCGTGCATGCTGGAGATAAAAAAGTGAGAGATAAACTCTAGACAAAATTCACTACAAATAAAATTTCATGCTCAGACAATTTAAACTTAAACACATACCAGAAAGACTTAAGATGTTCTTTAAATGAATCAGTCTATGATCCAGGATTCCCGAAGATATGCTACAGCAGCAAAATTCAGACTTTGGATACACCATAATTGCCTGAAGATTACTTTTATCGATTTGGACTGCCGATTCCTCTGACTACATTTTATGCTCTTTAAGATAACCAGTAATTGCTGATCTTCTGAAAGAACGTTCTACTCTAATTCATCTAAAACCAAAAGAAAACCACATGCACTACCCCTTCAGCTTAATAGTAGTACAATCAAAACAGACTGCTTTAGCCGCACGGCTGACTTCACTCCTAACACTGCACTTTCGTTTCCCTTTGCTTTAAAGACAGTTCCTTCCATCTGAGCTCATGAACAAAATTAGAATCACTGGCAGGGTTTAAACAGGCTGCTAAGCGTCACCTCCAAGTGGACCAGCCCCCTAGAAGTCTACTTACCTACTGATAAATTGATTGGAATTTATTAAAGAAATATAACTATTTTCCTTGAATTATAGAATACAATAATATTACAACAATCACTCATATGTATTTTTTAATCTGCCAGTTTCTTACTTTAACACCTACCCACAGAAATTGCATATACCACATAATTTTCCACTTTCGAATTCCAAGAGACCAAATTATTGAAACTAGAAAGATAATATGTGAATAAACATGGCATACTGATTAAAAATTAAAACACTTTCAACAATTTTTACTGTGCTTTTTTTTAAATTACAGTAAAAGTTATTGAACTTGGTTCTGCCTAAATTAATCTATATACTTATAGTTCCTAAATTTGTTTATGTTTCTTATAGATCAAAAGGATAATAAATTAAAATGTTTATATATATCTTCTAGGAATTGGAAACCATTCAAAGTGCCATCTACAATTATACTCCTGTTCTAGATTCTGATGTGAAAGAAACTACAAAGTTTTTCCATAAAGTTTTAAATGAATGCAAAGTCTTAAATTCATGAAATTCACCTAAACAATTTTTTTATTAATTTGTTTGCAGGATACTAAGAGCACTTGTTGTAAAAACTTAAGATAAAATCTAATATGTGAAACAATTTAAAGCAAAAAAGGAATTTGGTAGAATTCTACTAACATATTTTCATTTTCACAAAGTTGATTTTGCATCACTTTTAATGTATTTGTATTTTCAGATTATTACTGAATTTTGTAAAAAATGCATACATTGTATTAAATTTAGAAAACTAGTATAAACTAAAAATGCATTTACATTACTTCCTTTATTACCTTCAGCTGCATCAATAAAAGTATTGCATTGCATACTTTTAATTAACAAGCATTTGTTAAAAATTTTTAACATATTTCAAAAGAAATTTGTTTCCACAGATTATTATAAAAATGTATACATGAAATGAAAATACATCAGTTTTATGGCAAATGACTGGGACTGCAGAAAATATTAAGTCATTTGACCCAAAAAATACACTAATTTTATCACAAGAAAAAAAATTTATAAAATGATTTTAGCAACAATTGACACATTCCATATCACTCACACATGAAACTACACAAATACATGCAGGTTGAGATAAACAAAAATATCTCAGATTCTAAAATTAAAAATTCTTCCAAACATGAACCACTAATTTTATTTTTAAATCTCTTACTCTGTGTTAACATTTAGGTGCCACTGGATAAAGTAATTATATTATTTAAAAACAAATCCTCAAAAACAAATGAATTGTATACAGTTACCCTAATTTAATGTCATATTATTTTAAGACTACAGTAATTAATTTAATTTTTAATTATATCAGTATATGGATTGTATGTATTTATGCATCTTCAGCTGCAAAACCGCAAATGACTTGCGGTTTTGCAGCTGAAGATAATGGTTCGGTAAAACCATCGAAACTAGTCCTGTGAAAATTTTGTAGGTATAACGCTGATTTTTGTTGTTTGACTTCTGAACCATTCTTGGGTTGCTGTTTTCACCTCATCATCCCAGTGATATCATTGCTTTGAAAGTTCTGCTGCTATGGGACCAAAAACAAATCCCGTTGCAAAGTGTGTGCTGTAAAGAGGGTGATTCTAGACTTCCCACCTAAAATTTTTCAGAAGGTCACACGTTTGTTTTGCTGCATGCGGTCTTGTATTGTCATGCAGGAGCACAATGCCATTTGATAGTTTACCTGGGCGTGAATTTTTAAGTGATTTCCGCAATCGTTTTAGTGTTTCACAATAAGAAGGTACATTAATTGCGGCACCCTTCGGCATGAATCTGTATGCAGCAAACCTTGTCTGCTGAAAACAGTTTCAGCATAATATTTCCCAGGGATGGATTTGTTCGACACTTTTTTGTGTGTGTGTGTGTCTGGGAAGTGGAATTTTCCACTTGAAGGAGCTGCGTTTCAGTTCAGATGAGAAGGGGTGAATCCAAGACTCATCTTCGGTCACAATTTTGTCCAAAAACTGATTTCCTTCCTTTTGGTAACATTGCAGAAATTTCAACGCAATTTCAAAACGCTTCCCTTTATGTTCCTCCGTCAGTAGACGAGACACCCATCGAGCACAAACTTTATGAAATTCAAGCTGATCGGCAGTAATTTCATGCACACTTCCATGAGAAATATCCAGTTCTTTAGAGGTTTCGGTTATTGTTATGCATCTGTTTGCACGAATGCATTCATTCACATCAGCAGACATTTCAGAACTTGTGGCAGTTGATGGTCTTCCATCGCGCTCGCTCAGTGTCGTCAATATCTATACGTCTGTTCTTAAACATGTCGCACCACTCTGCAAGAGCTTGACAATGCATTGCATTTTCACCATAAACTTCATGCAACTGTCGATAAATTTCACAGCCGTTATACGTTTTCGCCTACAAAAAGCGAATCACTGCATGCATTTGCGATTTGGACGCCACTTGCAACTGTCCAGACATGCTTACGACTGATTATCAGACAAACTAAAATTGCTTCATAAAAGCCGCTACATCACACAATACAGCTAAATGTCTGAAGTGTCGCCAGAGAGTTTCAGTGAAATAGCCGTTAAAATAAAGTTTTTACAAAGAGGTTCAACTAACTTTGTGACTGACCCTACGTACATAAATTCCAACCACAAAATCTTCTTGAATCTTTAACAAAAAGGATTATATTGCAAAAGCAAGGGCTACAATTAATCTCATAATCTTTTAAATCTTTGGGTTGTATTATAACTCAACATTAACTATACAAAATAAAAATGTATATATTAATTCATTAATATGCAATTATCATTAATGTTTAAATTAGCCGTATAATTTTATTATTGTACAAATAAATTTATAATTATTCCGTGTACATTTACATTTAGTTTAGACTGAAACAATATGCATGTTTATTGCATTTTACTTGTTAAATTTCTCAATCCATAACCTTCTAAATGGACCTTTCCACATTAACCTCTTCACTCTCAGAGTGAATTAAGTTCCCCCTCGACCCATGACATCAGAGAGCTGAACTTCACAATGTGCCCTAGCGCATCTTGCAATTAAGCCTAACATGCAAAAAAAAAATTCTTATAAAATCTGCTTTATAAAGAAATAATCTGATTCTTGGATGCATTATTTTAATGATTTTCTTTACATAAAATTAACAGAAAATTCCTAACATTTTCAACTCAAATAAAAAAGTGCAATGATTGTACTTACATACTTAAATTATTTCCATAATGAAGTAGGAAACCTAAGAATTTAAATACTAATGACAATTATATTCTACTGCTACATTTATGTCAAAATTTTAACTGTTTTCACTCTGTGAAACCTTTCTAAATTCTGAATAATAGCATTGAAGCATTGCGTTTTACCATCATAGAGTAAAATAATAAAAAAATGCTCATGACAAAATTAAAACTCAACACATTCTATTCAGTTTTGTTTTACAGCATGTTGCCAGTGGTTTTACCACTGGCAACATGCTGTAAAACAAAATTATTCCCATCTCACATTTGGAATTTTAGAATTAAAGTATTTTGATTAAAATTTTGATAATTGAAAGGGTAACCAATTTTTAATCTAATATTTTTATGAGTACATATTTAATACAAATAGCCAATAGTTTGTGCAAATGGCAATATATATATATATATATATATATATTATATATATAAATAAATAATTATTTCCTAAACAGTATTGATTAATTGATATATATTATCTCCTAAGTTTAATTAAAGTAGAATTATTTTAAAAGTGTGCATCCATACTGGTAAGTTATATTTTGAAAGATGTTTTGAAGTAATTTGAAAGCAAAATGTTAATAATGTTTTAACGGGGACTGGAGTTAAATCATCACGAAGAATAATATTACAATTGTAAAAGTAAAAATTAAAACATGTAATTATTGTCATTGATCGGAAATTAGTTGACTTTTCAAGGGGAACAAACCAACTCCCGTTCAATGATCAATAATTGATAAAAATACGTAAATATGAAAGTGTTTCGTCTTTACTCGAGTTATAAGTTAAAGCCAAACCGGCAATTCTAGTCAGGCCAAATATTTCCGCGAATAGTTGTTACTCAAAGAACTTATTCTCATGAAGCATTTTAGTCAATTCAATTTGGAGTAAAAATCAATTACTGTAGAGAAATCCTGTAAAACTCGAGTAACCGTCCCCGACACTATCATCTTTATGTATTTGAGTACTATATTATTTGTAGAAATTAAACATTGGAAATTGTCATTATGAAACCGAAATCAAAGTAAAGTTGAAATAAACATAGAAGATTATAAAAAAGATAAATAATGCAAACTTTGTAAAAACAAATCAAAGAGAACATAAAATGATATAAAAATAATATAAAAATAAAATAGAAAAAATATATAAATAAGATCAGTGAATGTACATGAAGATATAAAGGCCAGAAAGGTATTAAGTAACTTACATTCTTTCTAGTGGGGGAGTTGGCAATGTGTTCTCTTCGTGTCTGACTCAGAAGTGTAGGGTGTCCGAAAATTCTTAGCGGCAGTAGGGGCTTTGAATTATATCAGTCGGTCGGTAAGACTTGGGTGAAGAAATTTATGGTAGTGGGTGGGACTTGGAATTCTTGAGGGATGTATTTTGTGGAGTTCTTATCTGAGAGAGACCGTCTGTTAAGATTTTTTTAAAAATACTAGTGAATGGAAATTAATTAATTTCTGGCTAATTGTCGTGTCGCAATGATTAAGAATTTAAGAAAGGAAAAAGGCATTTTCGCTGTTCAAGAGCTAGTAGACAGTCTAAAGGCAGGAAATAGGCCCATTTTTTTAGTAACAGTATATGTCTGAAGACAATTAGCTTTTTACAATATATACAATGAGTAATTACACTATATACAAATCTTTCAACTGACAGTCATCCAACTTATACCGCCTTCTCAGGTTTAGGAATAAATTATCATATCCCTATCAGTTAAATGATTTAGAGTGAGTATTTAACGCCTGCTCTTTTAAGGCAATGGTTGATAATTTGAAAGGGAATTAGATTATTTTTGAGAATTTTGATAAGGATCAAAATTTCGCATTGTAAATCTATTGTATCTGTGCATATAGTTTTAATTCGTTGTATTTCATTAATTATAGTATTGTTAATTACTTTTTTGGATATGTTGGAGTTCCAATTTATTAATTTGTTAGTATTGAAATTGAAGTTTCTTGTTTTGTCAAAAAGTAAAATTTTTTTGTAGTTAATGATTTGAAGATCTAGAAAGTCTATGCTATTTTGTGAATTATTAGTTTTATTAAGTTTAAGACAATTCGGATAAATGTCGGAGTTTCAATTTTACCAAAATTATTAATTGTAATAAGGTCATCAATAAATCTGTAGGTGTGTTTGTAGTAATTTAACTCTTGTGGTTGCAGATTTTTTTGGAAGTTAAATTCTTTGACAAATAAAAAGATATTACAGATCGAGGTGCTGGAATGTAAGCCCATTGGCAATCCTCTGACTTGTTTAAAAAGTTGATTTTGAAACTTGATGTAGTTATGAAAAAGTGTGCATTTTAGGTAGGTTTTCCATTTGTCAAGAGTCATGATATTGAGTATATTAAGTATATTAGGGAAAAGTTTTGGTAGATCAAGTATCAAATATCAAAAAAAAAATATATATATATATATATATATATTTAACGTTTCTGTTGAGAAAAGGAGAAATAATCATG